AGTTTCCATCCTACCCTGTATTCCTTATCTCTGTTAGATCCTCTTCTCCAGTCACCTTCATCCCACCTGGAAATGGCTTACAAAACCCACCAGCAGGATTTGTAAAAAAGTTCTTGTCTTCTTCAGTCCTTTTTGCTCAGTCAAAGTTCCTTCAGCATTAGCAAGCCCCTGCTGCAGGGGAAAACTGAGCACATGCAGGAACATCCAGAGAACTCCTCTGTGGCCATGCACACCAACAAACATTCTGTGTACTGCCCAATTAGAGTAAGAAATAGAAGAATATTACACTAGACAAGCTGTGCACTGGAAAAAAAAACTGGTACAAAACTCTATTCCACAAATTACTCCATCTCTTATGATAAACACATTTACTTTCATAAATAGCTTTGTGCTTTGTTCTGTGGGACCCAAAGCAATAAGACTCCTTGTTGTGATCAACAACAGGCCCCTGGACACAGAGGCCATTTAAAAATCTCTCTCAGCAGTTTCATCTTTCCTGTTCCCTGCCAGCTTTTCCTGTGTATCACAACAAGCTGCAAATTTGCACTTCTGGGGGACTGTTTCTACTTTATAGGCTCTGCATCTGTCACCCATTTTCATCTGAAAATATTCCCTTCAGAGGCCTCCCTGCATGCAGCTCCTCTGGAACTCTGAGCACATTTCCATCCATTTCCCTCTGCAAGAAAGGAGGACAGGAAAAAGAGGTAATTTTCAGCATCATCCAATTCCAATGGTTTCAAATCCATCTCTAGCTCTCTGTGCTAGCTGGTGATGTGTGTTTCACTGCAGTCTCCAGGGACTTCAGAAGCATATCTAAACTTATCCTCAACATCTCTCATTATTTTGAGGAAAAAACCCCAACATGACTTTTATGCAAAGAAGAGCTATGACTAAATTAAGCAGCTTGGCCAACAGCTCTTGCTGAAGTTTCTGATGGAGACAGAAAACGAAGTGGAAGAAAAGCAACGTCCAAACCAACGCACTTGAAGCCGTAATTTGGGCTTGTTAACTGAAAAAGGTGCATTTCAGATATTATTTTTTTGTTTTGAAGAATGAAGCTGCAGGGAAGGAGAGCTCTGCAGAGGCCAGGCTGTTTGCAGCCACTGACAGCACACAGCTCACAACAGCCCCCACATGCAGCCTCTGATCCCAGCAAGAGTTCAGGAACCTTGGAAAGATTTGCAACATGAAGGGAAAGTGAGAGTCACAGAAATTTCTTAGAACCTGAGAATCTCCCACCTAGGAAACAGCATATTATCAATCACAAACCATAATTAAATACAAGCAAGCTGCCTCTCTAAATTGAAAATGTGTATTTTACAGGACAAACCACAAATCAGACATGACAGAAAACTGCTGGGTCTGAATACATTATCTTACAGTTATTACAGCTGTCAGCTACCACAGAATCAGAACAGTTTATGTTGGATGGGACCTTAAAAATCACCTTGTTCCAACTCACTGCCATAGAGTGAACTGGGAAATTTAAAGCGTGGATGCTCAAAAGTGGAAGGCAAATTACATTAATCATCTTCCTGTTGAAAGCCCCCACAAACTTTTACCTAGTTCCTTTGTTTATCAAAAAGGTTCTCTCCAAACATTTAATTTCAAGAAATATTGTTCTTAAAACATGCATAAGGGGAAAAAAGATCTAAAATACATGACAGACTTCTACTATAAGAAAAATTTATTTTTTGAACAAATTTTGTCAAATGAAAAGTTAAGGTGTCTAACTGCAGCTGAAAGGGTTTGAAAAGCATGTGAAATAAGTAAATTTTGCCATAAAACTGCAGAAAACCCCCAGAACCACGACCCTCACACATCTGCACTCTTCCAAGATCCCCACTGTCTGTTGCTGCACGTTTTTTCACTCCATGGAATTCCCTGTAACCTCCATTTATCCTCACCATCTGCATTTCTCTACCCACAGCTTCAGCCATTAAACTGAAATATGAACCAAAAAATACGTTTGACTCTGTTGAAGAAAATTGGGAAGGCAGAGGCAGAAAAGGGGAAAGAAAAATTATATTAAAAATATCTATGTCTTGTTGTCAAATTTCCTCTGCCTGGCAGTCTAAGCTGTGTGTGCATTTCTAAGAACTCAAACCCACAATCCCCAGAGTGGAAAAGCAGCTCTGTTGCTGTTTGAGGGGACAGGTTTGCACCTGAGTGTTTTCTAGGGGGTTCACCTGTTACACCCTGGGATACAATTTCAGTGGAGCAAGGATAAGTTTACACTGAAGAGTAACTACCACCACCAAGAACTGTGTGTGCAAAGCACACAGAGACCTTTAAAATCAACATTTTCTTTAACAGCATCAGCCAAGCCAAAAAGAAAAAAAAAAAAAGCAGATTCACCTACTCAAAACATTGGAAAGAGGAGCATGAAATGTGAAATTATTGAAAAATAACATGAACCTCACGGGGCTCTTATCCAAAGGGGATGGAGGGAGTGGAACAGGGAGCAGAGCAGCCAAGGCACAAAGCAGTGCCTGGGACATGGGGACACAGGGAAGGGATGGGCAGGGAGAGGCTGCAGAGCTGGGTGGGAGCTCATGGAGCCATGGAACAGCAAACCCCAGCAAATTTCCTCTACTGAAACTCTTACTACAAGACATTCATTCAAAACTGACTTAATCTTTTCTTTATGAGTGAAATAAGTTAAATTAACAAATTGAAAGCGTTTCTATGAAATGGATCCTTAAGATTTTTCCTACTTCAGTCAATGCCAAATAATGAGGCAAACAAGAACTTTAAATTGCTGTGTCAGGAAAGAATGAAGGATTAGATGCTGGGCAAAGGAAAATGGTATTTAAACTTAGTAATTGGCAACGTTGCACTGATTTGTTAACTCAAGAACAGACACCTATGACTCATTGAAATTCACCAGTCTGGGTTTTCAGTCCAAATATTTGAACATTCCTAGCTATATATTTCTTTTTTTTCAACTTGATTTAATATAAACAACAGCACCAAAATGTTCATTACAATTCATAGTAAACCCAGATTATTGGATGACAAGATACCTAAAAATCAACAGAGTTAAAATAGCAATTTTCAAATTAAGAATGCAGGAATGTAACTCAAATGCCTCTACAGCCAAAGGAGAGAGCTCTCATAAAACCCTTAAGGGCTTTTTACTTTTATTTAAGACACAAAGGATTAGCTTTCTAAAGCTTCTTTCGGAATTTAATTGGCCAAGTATAACTTTTAAAGCAGTCCATCTGCCTGGAGCACAGCAGCTGTGGTGGGGAGAATGCTGCTGCAATATTTGGATAAATTCTCAAACAAAACCGTAAAATGTGTCTGGTAATTAGTGGGTGATGTGAGAACTCAGAAGTTGGCACTGCAATGTTGTTTGCAGAAACTGCTGGACTTTATTTACTGTGATTCTTGTTTCCAGTGCACAATCAGCACAGAGATTTCCATAACTTCATGCACATCACAAAAGTAAAATTTGGTATTAATGCACGTATTTATTTCTTCACTATCTTACGTGACATTTCTCTCTGCAGTGAAATAACCCGACACTAATTTTCTTCTAAAACTTTATAACAGAGCAATATCACATTACTTTGCTTAAATTATATTGCAGTGCCTAAATGTTACATGATGCAACATAACAGTTTGCTATATTCTGTAACGAGATCTTTCCCACTGCACCCATCTCCTCAATTCTTGTAAATTAAATATGGTAAAATCTGTGCAATGCTTAAATAAAAGGTTCTGAGCTAATGGAAGCAGTAAGGCTAATGAAATGACCAGTGAATTAACAGGGAACAGCATTAATAGTAAATTACACTGTGCTGGGAATTTAGCTGCAATCTTCTACTCAAATCTGAACACTCGAAAATTAACATCTTTAAAAAGAAAAAAAAATCTGAGATTTGTTCAAACCTCAACTTGCCTCCAAATTAAGAACTCACATTTGTATTGTTCAGTTTTGGATATTTCATCCATAACAGGATTTAATGGCCATTTTCAAACCTGACTGCTTAAGTTTTAAGATCTGCATTTGGGACCAGGTTTATAATATTTTGTATCTGCTGTATATAAATACATATAAGCATTTTTTTGAGCATTGTATTTCATATTAAAACAACTTAAGCCACTTCAAAATTCTAGAACATTTTTCAGTTTTCTGTACAAGTATCTCATTGCCAAAGTTACAGAAGCAGTGCTGGTGGAAAGTTCCTAGGAGACAGCAGAAGAAAATCACACTGTTTGCCAGTTTGCTCAGCCACAACTGTTGTCTTTTTATTTTCAGGAAACGATTTCTGCTATTCTGCTTTTTCTGGTTATCCAGCCTGGACCTCTGTCCTGTTTACAGAACTGAGGCAACCCCTTGGGTACGATCTGCCTTGTGTTTGCCAGAACTGCAGTGACAACCACACCCCAGTAACTCTTCTCACCAAATCCCACTGGATGCTTTATTTTACCCTGGTCATAAGTGGTGACATTGTCCTTACCTGTTTGGGAAGATCAGTTTCAATTGGACATTAAAAAGATGGCTGAGGAAGAAAAACTATCCCTAAAGGAAGCGATTCAGTTCGGTATTAATGGATATATTCCATCAGTACAACTATGCATCAGAAATGAAAGTGCCCCCACAAGTTACTATGCTTGTTTAGACAACATGCAAATAAAACAGATGTGACTGGTCCACCAGAAAAAAGAAGCTGGATCCCTAATGGAGAGCTGCTGTCAAATGAGAGCCACCAGGAAAGCCATAGACTAAACCTTACCTTGAAATTACTTAACTGAAACAGCCTGCTGCAATTTTGTAATACAAAGACCATGTCAGCTGCAGGTAAAAGGATTTCTGCATTCCCAAGCTACAAGAAACCGTTCCTTAAATTTTATATTTAATTTATCTCAGTTTTTGGTCTAATCAGCAATTAAATTCGAAAGAGGATCCCTAAAGAGAACATGCCAGTTGAAAATACACACAATAACAAGGAGAAGAATGATAAACTCCAGGAGTAAGGCGTTAATTTGTATGGTAGGAACGATATTAATAAACAGGTCCAATGTCAAATGAAATGGGTCGCAAAGAAACACGTTACCTGCAGACTTTAAACTGTGATTCAATGGCCCAGCAAACCATGAAAATGCGACCAGTGCTGCTGAAGAGGAACAGCCTGGACTCGGCGGATTTTGTGAGACCCCCCCAGCACCGCAGGACCAAATCCCAGCAGGTGAGGTTCAAGGAGGATGGTGTCAGCACCAAGGCGGAGCTGGGAGCTCATCCTGCCCCAGACACAGCACTCACAGCTGCAAAAACACAACTCTTTAGGGATCACAGCTTTCTGCTAACTCAGTCCCCGACTTTTCCAAGGGCTCAGAAGGGGCTTCGGAATATTGCCATACAAACTTCTCCCAGCCTCAGGAAACACTTCCCCGTTTTTAAAAGGAAAAGGCTGACAGTGAGCAAATCACTGACAGAAATGCCAGCGGAGCCTGCAAACTCTATCCAGGTAAATGGCAGCCTCTGTGAACCAGACATTCTGTCCTCAGAGCTCTGCTACTTGAGGATAAGTCATCACTTGGAGGATGGGTGCAGGAATAGCGAGGTGGGCTTGGGGCAGAGGTCATCAAAAGCACAAAGCAATGGGCCGAGGTACTCGGATGAGTTCTCAGTGTCAGACAAGACAACTGCATCCACACAGGTGCCTGAATACATTCATGTGAGTTCCCCACAAGACAGAAACGTTCCCCCGGATGCACCAGACACAGCCACAGTCTCGAGTAATTCACTGCATTCTTCTGCCGTCATCAACAGCAACGAAAGTCATGAAAACAGCACACTGTCGTCTGATTCTGACAGAGCAGAGCCTTGCCTAAGCAATTCTGTGAGCTGCAGTGAATGTAACCCCCACTCTGCTGCTGGTGAAGTGGAGAAAAGCAATTCTGAGCTGCCCGGAGCCAGTAAAGATGCCAGCAGTAAGGAAACTACTCCACTGTCACCCTCATCAAATCCCAGCTCATCTCCCTGTTTCCTCAGAGACTGTCACCAGGCAGGAGAGCACAAGCCAGATTCCAGCTGTGTGACATTACCAAGTGATGACTTCCCAACAGTGTCACCCACCAGCAGCAACGCATCCAAACCCTGTCTGTCATCTAACACTGAAATCGAGAAAAATTCCACCCAGTCAGATGTTTCCCAGTGTAACAGCTGCTTAGAAGGATTTCACAGAAAGTCTCATCTGCCAAGGAATGAAATGAACCCGCAAAGCAACAAAGAGATTAACGAAATAAATCAAATTCACTTGGAACATGGCGAACTCTGTGCCCTACAAGGCAGGCTGCAGTCTGTAGAGGAATCCTTGCAGTCGAACCAGGAGAAGATTAAAGTCCTTTTGAATGTAATCCAAGACCTGGAAAAATCCAGAGCCCTCAGTGAAGGGTATGGTTCATTTTTAATATTAGTAATTCATCAGAAGTGTAAAGTAGATGCTAGCATTCTTTTAACCTTTGCTACTGGAAAACGCAGCTCTTCTGATATTTAAAGATGAGTTTGCAGAAATGCCTTTTTGTGGTATTTAGGTCTCAGCAGAGAAGCAAGTCCCTTCATAGCTTGGCTTTAGCTGACACTGCCTTTATAAAATCCAGTGCAAGACCCAGCTTAACAACTCCCTTTTGTACTTAGATTTAAGGTGAAAGTGTGGCAAGGTCAGATACACACAGAGTGCCAGACTGAGAACCAGGGACAGAGCATGTAAAGGCTGCCGGCAAGAACTCACTTCAGACTCTCAGGTTTCAGAGTGGCTCCCTTCTGCATCCCCATAAAAATGTAAAAAACCCTGTATTTATTGTCAGGATGGTGACACAGGGACTGTGCCAAGGCTGCAAGCAGTATTCATGCATTATTATGCATTATAAATAATAATAATACCATAAAGGCAACTAACATCTAAAGATTCGACAAAGCTAAAATAGAACTTTAAATGCTTTTATCCTCAAAACGAGTTTCAGAATATCCTAATAGAGCTTTCCAAACTCTCAACAGCATCTCTTACTTACAGTAATTGCATCTAGAACACACTTGAAAGTTCTATTTTGTTGTAAAGTAGCATATCCTTTAAACAATTTACCTTTGAAAAACTCAGAAATAAATCAAGAGAATAAAAGTTCCATTTCATTTTTTAAACAAAAAAAGAACATGAAGAGACTATGCTGCCATAAATTTAATCTTTAGCACAGGCATCTCATGCCTGTTGTATTTACTGATTACAATAATGACCAAATCAGGCAATATTCCACATTTCCACAAACTGTGCAACCACCACAACAAGAAGGCTGCACAGAGGGTTTTGTGTAGGTGTAGCTGCAGAAAGAGCCCAGAGCATGAGGCTGCTGTGCTCACACCACCCAGCATCAGGGTTTGCACTTGTTCCCATGTGGGCAGAACTCTCAGGATAGAATTAACCAAGGCCACAACTTTATATTCCCCAATTTTCTAACCACTTCTGAAGGAAAGAAAAAATGAAAAAAAAATCTATTTTGAAGATTTTTTTTCTTTTTCCATGTATTTCAGCTTGGAATTGAAGTTAACTTGTACTTCTGTTGAATAACTTTCCAATTCACAATTCAAATAAGAAATTACACTCATTAAAAAAAATTAAAATAATATAAATCAAGTAAGCATGTGATTTTACTCCATACATATTACCTTTTTTATCTGAAAACATTAACCAGTAATAATGTCCATTGGCTGTTAGCATGAAAATACTTTCATTAACTTCCACTGTGCCCACATAAATTCTTGTTCTATATAACACTTTCCCCATACAATTCAGCTCCAGATACTCTCCCTCAGAGGCTTGTTCCATGTGATTTTCAAGCACCAAATTTGTAATTGCCTGAACACAAGGGACAAAATCCACATGGACAGACTAACAGCAAAAATGCAAAAAATATTGACAACCCCAAAAATTCAGGTAAGAGGCAAGATTCAAGGCAGGGATCCAAATACATCTCAAATTTAATCAGTCATTTTTCTGCTGTAATCTTCATCCAGACACCACCTGACTGTGGTTCCTTAGGAAGTGACAGAAAAGAGCAGCCACTCCTCTCCCCTGCATGCAATTCTCTAGGGGACAACCTAAGTTTCAATTACAAATCTGCCCATAGCAAAGACTAATTTGCAGTGAAGCATGGTCAGATTATCCAGTAATATTTATAATCCATTTCTGCTCAGTTACCGCATGGTTGAAAACAAAAAAAATATGTCAAATATCTTGAAGTATCACTCTGAGATTCAATGAGAAGCTTCAATCCACCTTGGCAGACTCATCTCACAGCAACACTGAATGTTCCAAGCACTGTAATGATAGCACAACAACGCACATGAAGAATTCCCATTTTCCCCAAAGCAATCAGAAAATTATTTTGGTACCAACTGATCTCCCCTAATTCAAATCAAACTTGTTAAATATAAGTGGTACACTTTCTTCAGACCTAATGAGTCACCAATTTCAACCTGTTTCTAATGCAGATCTCTCCATCATAAAAATATTCCAGCTCTACTTGGTGTTAAGCATGAAAACCCACTTTTCTTGTTTTCTCAACACTACAAATTTGTAACTTACCAGCAGTAAAAATCTGACTTGGTTATATTCAAATAAGGAAACGTGAGAAGGGAAGACTGGAAAGCATAAGGAGAGAGTTCAAACTGATTCAGCAAATTGCAAGGATTTTCAAATACTTGAAAATGTGTTTGTTAGAAGCAGTCTCAGGTCTCAGTGTTTTCATAACAAGTATTTATGCAAGAACCAACAACCAGAACTCTTACCAGCATGGGTGGGACAGGTGCAAGACAAAGCTCATAGGGTTTGTGTGTTTTTAAAGAAACCTTCCAACTTAGAATTTGATACTAGAATTTTGAGCAGGGCTAACAGCAGTGGTGAACAGAATGGCTTTTGTCGATAAAAGACTCAGAGCTCTGTAGTTGTGTCTGTAACTCCACATCTCATGAGCTGCTGTCTGTTCCAGGCGTAACTTCTACCACACGGGGCAGGACCTCAACAACTGCAGCACCTGCCAGAACACGGCGTGCATCATTTACAGGTACTGACACAGCTCTGTCCTGCACAAAAATGTGCCTGATCACACCTAGGAGATGTCTCAGCTGCCACTCACCCAGTTTTTAAGAAAAGACCAAGTGGTTTGTAAGAGGTGCTTGGTTTGTCCAATTCACAGGGGTGTTAGCTGATAGGAGAGGGGGACTGGATTGGCAGAATTCAAACAGAAACTTCCCTCTAAAGCTTCACAGTGTTAATACTGGCATGATTTGAAAATCTGTGATGCCATTTCTGTTGATGAAATTCCTCTGTGTGATACATTTTTTAAAGCTAGGGTTTCTGTAATAATTTTAGATCTTGGAAAAGCAATTCTCAGTTCTCTGAATGCTACAGTTCATGTTAACAAGCAAAACAAACCCAAAATTCCCACAGTTTTACCTCAGTTATTAATTTGAGAGAGTGCAACTTGAGTGTAGGCTAGCTCAGATTAAAATACAGTTTATGCTAAACTCTTATGGCCAGAAAGCTTTGCAGAGTCATGTTCTGGGAGCTGCACATGTTTCAAATGCTGTGTCTGTGCAAACACTGTAAGAGCCTCCAGCTGTCCAGACATCAGCCCCAAAGCCTGCAGGTACAAAGTCTTGCTTGTGCTGCACATGTGTCTTGTTCACCCAGCAAGGGAATTTATAAAGACATTATTTAATCTCTGCAAGCTCAGTTACGAGGCAGAAAACCCACACCCTGGGTTACTTGATAACATTTGCAAAAATAAAGGGTAAGAGAATTTCTCTTTGAGGCTGAAACCTTTTCCTTCATTTCAAAGAACACGGCAGACTGTTACCTTCAAACAGTTTGTAATCACTATAACTTTAATTTTTTGAATGGAAATAATTAATATGAAATACCCACATGGAAGTGTTTTTCACACTGCATGTTCTGCATGAACCAAATTTAGTAGAGCTTAATAAACTAGACACAGCACTGGAACCTATTGTTCAACATGCAACTCAGTCCCATACTGATGTCCTAAACCTCTGGTAATGAAATTTCCAAGCAATTAACACGTCAAAAATTAAACACCACAACTCCTGTGGGACAAAGCTGTAGGTCTTCTTCACAGCCCCATGAATACACTGGGAAGTTACACGACTTATCCAAGAGCATAGACTGTATGCATTAAAAAAAGAAAAAAAAAAAGGTATTTCCTTTACTTGCTCATGGTGTCTGAACAAACAATCTCTGTGTGTTTTATGGGACTAGACATGCACAGGTCACTCCTTAGAATTTATACACAGACCACCCTTGACCGCAGGGTCTCTTTGGAAAAATACCCCATGTTTTTAAATGTACATGGTTTCAGTGCAGGATAGATCTTGAACAACAAGCACCATCATTCAAAAGAAAGAACAGAGGATGTAAGAACACATTCAGGAGACTTTTTGATTTACCAGGTACTTTGCAACAATAATGGCACCTGGAGGCTCACACTGCAATGATTAATAGAGCATGTACAGAACACAGGTGCTCTAAAAAGTTTCTACTTTTAAGAGACAAAGAGGAAACAGTAAGGAAACAATAGTTTTGGATTCACAGAGGTGTTCCACAGGATGTGGTCAGGAAAAAACCATTCGGAGTGACTAATATTTGAAGTTCATTAGCCAATATTCTGAAAGAAGCAATTGTTGTCAGTGTTTGCTCCAGACAAACACGTGCAATTCCTGTGTTTTATGTGGCCTGAAAAGTCCATGCAAGTGTTTTCCCCTAAGACAGCACCGCAGTTGTGATTAGAAAAGCAGGTGTTTTTTGTCTTGCTCCCAGTTTTCCTGCTCTTAAGGAAGCCCACTCCTGAGTGCTGTGCTGCTGTCACTGAACCATCTTTATCACACACAGCCCCCGAGTCAAACAATGCATTAATCCCACAGAAATCCCCGTGTGGATTACACTGATCACTAAAGTAATAAAGAGCTTTTCAGCCTAACAGCGACTGTAAATTCAGCTTTATTAACTACCCAGCAGGGATTCCAGGCTTGGGATTTTCCATCTAGATCATGTAATAGAAATGTTTGTATTGTAATAAACAAATGCAAGTAGCAACCACAGCCAGTTATCGTGGGCAGTACTGAATGAAGACTGAATTGACCTCTTGTCTCTGGAGATGATATCTCCAATATTAAATTAAAAACTCTGGAGAAGGGTGGAGAAAAGGAACACGAGCAGATGCTACCCTTAAGTATTCTATAAACCCAACATTTCATTCTCCAGTGCCCTTGCTCTGTGAATATTGAAAGGTATTAAGTTGCAGTTTTAGTAATAACCTGATGAAATGCAAGAATCACTGATTTTATATCACTTCCTTCTGCATTTTTATATTTATTATGCATTGCTGCTTGTTCAAGAGATCCTTCTACTCTTTTCTAAATGAAAACAATCCACCTGCTTTCTTTTTATCCATTGAGTTATTTAATGAAAAATCCCAAGACATGTGAAGTAAGGGAAGATAATTTTAACATACTATTTGATAATGTTTATGGATTTTATATGAAAATGCAATTAAAAGTTTTCAGAGATTTGCACGTTTACTAACTTTACAGTTTTCTTCTGATCAGTGTCAAAATCAGCTTCAGGGTCTTGCAGTGACATCCCAACCCCCTTAAATGATGCTCCTTTCCCCCCATCATGGCAAATGCAACCTTTCCACTCTCCCCTAAAACCTTCACAGCAGACACAGCTCACTCTCCTGCCCAGAAAAGATGATTGAAATAAGGAAAATACATGAAATACTGCTTAATTTCTACCCACACTGATTCTTTTGAACCTTGCATTTATTTCTATGCACTCATCTGCTGTTATCTAATTAACATCTTGGCTCTTGTTTGACATCAATAATAATTAGGGCTTTCAATTGAGGAAATGAGTTCTATTTTACTTAACTAACACCACTTACCTACTGGCTTAATTTCATTTTTTTGTTCCTAGCCTGTGTCCTAGTGGGAGACATATTTAAAAAAGTTAAGCATGTGAGAGTTTTTAATTATGAGCATATGACACTTAGATTATGGGATCAAAATTTGTCCTTTGAACAAAATGTATTGAAAGGTCATCCTAGCACATTTTCATTTTTGTCCCATCGCTTTGGGCACAATGTTGGAGTTCTTAACTCACATGAAGTAAAATTTTTCGCTCAAAAGAAAAATCAAGAGGTGAACTTATTTTCAAAGGAGAAACCCCTAAACCCCTTGTATTTACCCCAGGCTGTATCACTGAATAACACCAAGTTATTCTGATGAGGAAGCAGCCTTTGATATGTTCTTTAGAGGGGGAATTTCTCATTTACTAGCATAGGTCTCTCGATTTTTTTTTTCCATAGTGTAGAATATGACTTCAGACAACAAGAAGGAAGATTTCATCAGATTTTGAAAACACTGGACAATGCAGAGCAAAATCCAGCTTCAGCTTCACCTCAGAAGCCACCACCTGATCCTCCAGCTCCCGAGAAAAAGGAGTTAAGGAGAAAGACAAAAAAGGTGAAAAGAAAATGCTTCTGGTGGATTTGACTTCCTCATGCATCCTTTTACATTTCAAAAGACATTAAAACAGAAAGAGCTCGAGAGCACACACCTGAAAATGTGCTATTATGAAATCACAAAGGTTAAGAATGTTTAATTAGAGTATCTGAAAAATTAAAATAATTAAATTAATTTAAATCAGCTCGCTGAATAAAGGTGCATGAAGGTACTATTTTCAAGAAAAGAAATTGTTTCTTTCAAAAGGAAGTTCTCATTTTTTTCCAAGGACACTTTCATATGCTTTGTAAAGACTTTTTTTTCAACCTTCCAAAAATAACAAGGTTTAAATCTCTACTTTAAAAAACAACAGTAGACAAAGCTAAGCATGTCACACAGCCTTCATTTCCCATTTATTAGCAACAAGGACTAAAAGGAAAAAAACTTCATCGAGCTTTGAACAAACCACATCGTCAAGAACAAATTCAGGGAAACCTAAATTGTTCAAAGAAATCTCTTCTCAAAGGAGACAATTATAGTTATTTCACATCCCCACTGAAATATTTCTGTTGCTGTCATCTAATATTGAACAACAAAAGAATTTCAGGTTAAGTTTTAATTCTCCTTTTATTTGTTCATTATAAAAAGCCACTATTTAGATGTTTTCAGCCATTGAATGGACTTCTCTGGAAAGAATTGAGGAGTTGTAAAACAAGAGAATGTCACAGTAACTCTTGACTTAAACCCCTGCTCAAGCAAGGTCCAGTTCAGTGGATTTGGGATGTGAGCACCTCCAAAGACAAGAATCCTCAGCTCCTTGGGGGAGGCTGTTCCAGGGTTTTCTCCTTACATTGAATCTGAATTTCCTGCATTCTGGTTTGTGTCCAGTACCTCTTGCTCTGTCCAAGCAAGAAGATCTCCATGGATAATGAGACCTCTCTCCTTCCCTCCCAAAAGACTGAACAAATCCAATTCCATCCCCTCATCTCCCCTGCTGCAGCCACAGCCAGGAATCCTGCTGCTGTCCCCCCCATAAGCTGATGTTTTTCATACCTGGAAGCCTAAAACTGGACACAATCAGCACAGAATTGACTCAGAAGTCATCACACAATTGCTGGATAAAGAGGAATTCCTATTTTGGCTGCTCTCTAACTGAATCCTTGCCCAGTCTATCCATTTATGACCTGCATTGTTGTACCAAAATATCCCGAGTTTTTTTTTTTCGCCTTAAGATGTAAATTAATATACGATAAAAAGTTGAACATAAAAATAATATTTAATGAACTGATCTGTATTACACACACACAAAAATTTATATATTCTGAAAAGATTTTATCAAATGTCAATGCAGCTACTCCTTTCCTCCAAAAATTCTCAAGTTACCATTGGCACAGGGTGTGCCAATGGAACCCAATTTATGATTGGTGATCCTATTATTTTACTCATGAAAACATGGTCACCTTTCATATGGGGAGCAGGGGGGGGTAAAGGTTTTCCAAAGCAAGTTGAGTGGAATGTACTGCAGACCTTTTCTTAGAAGTGGCCCTGGTTCAGGGCATTCCATAGATTAATCCCTGCATCTTATTTTTCTAAGTCATCTTGTATTAATTGTGCAACATTAGTTTTAAATGTCTGTACACTTTTTGTACACTTCTGTGTTCCTTGAATTCTTAGGGTTAATTACACGTTTGAAAATACATTAAAAACAATTTTGCACAGAAGAATTTTGTCTGGAGGAACTAATTTCTTTATAAAACAAGTATTTTAGAAGAAAGTACACAATATGCTACGGCTTAATTTATCAAAATTCGAAAGGAAATAAAAAACATCTTCATGTTAATATCAGTTAGTACCGAAATGATGGGAACAAAACTGCTGTTATTTTAGAGGCTTTTCAGAAGGAAATTAATTTTTTACTAAAATGTCTGTAGATGCCTTTAGTGAGAGAGAAAAGCTCTTCAGTAATAGGTTGTGGTTATACAAAAATAAGAATGAAATTGCTCCATCAGAACACATCTCTATGTCACACTCAAGTACATGCACTGCCTGTGCTGCTGTGCCAACAGAATTCCTTTTTTTTGCATTATATATTATATATATTATCTCTATAATTGATGCAGTGAAGGATTTATTTGGCTATAAGTTATTCTTGTGTATTAAAATAACATTTTAAGACCAATGTCCCCTGTGGTAAATATAATAATAAGCAACACCAAGAGCTTTAACACTGGTAAAAACAGCAAGTTTTTTTTTCTGTATTGAACCCATTTTTAATAATTTATGATACAAACACAATGTTTTTGCCTTTTCTTTTGTTGGCAAGTTAAAAAAATGCTCATTTTAAGCTATCTGACTTTGGGTTTGCCCACATAATGCATATGATACCTTCAATTTATTTTCAAAGGATCCAGATGATTTAATTTAAATAAACCACAGCACTTTGGTTCACCACATAGCACCAATCAATTCCTGGGGTCAGGAGAACTATGCAAAACAGAAATACTCTTTTTATTTTAAGAAAGCCCAACCAAAGGTAGCTACAAGTAAGGCTCCAAGTCTTCCCTATGACCCGAAGAAACATCAATACTCATAAAAATCTGGAATACACTGATTTAAGTGCTCACAAATTTCACATTTTAACGTGTGAGCTTGATGGGATTCAGAACCATAACCAATTTTTAATCCTTAATCCCCCAGTCACAATTAAATTCCGTTTTCTAGATCCTGATTTGGTGGGTTTTGGTTTCTCTCTCAGTCAGTAAAGCCTGGATCAGCCACGTGTGGAGATGAAATTCTGGGGTTTTTTTTTTCTGACCTTTGCCCATGGGGAAGCAGGGGAGGTTCCCAGGCCAGGCAGGAGCATCCACTGCTGTGCCAGCCCTCCCCTGCTTCCCCAGAGCTTTCACACACCCCCTCCACCCCAGGCACCTTTTTTCTGGACAGAAAAATGGAATTCCAGGGCTGTGGAAGCACTTTCCCTCAGGAATTTTTACCCCCAGTCATTCCCACAGGGCTTGACAATCACGAGGTTTTCTACATCAACCCTGAGAGAGAAGAGTGGAACAAAAAGTTTCAGTGCCACTGAAGGGGGGTGGTGGGGAGGTGCCAGTCCTGGAGACACCAAGGACAGGAGCAGGGTAACCCAGCTTTGCTGCTGGTTTATTTAGGCTTTAAAATGTGCATCTCTTAGCAACATAAAATAATTAAAGCTTTGTAGCACATAAGTGGAGAATCTTGGCTGTATGAAAATGTGATGTGAAAGCATTGGGTTTTTTTTTTTTTAATTGTTTAATATTAAAAAAATATTTTAGTAATTAATTATTAATTCCTATTATAAATAAAAAATAAAAAAGTACCAGATACACACTCTGCAATTTATAGTGTGGAAAAATATACAGGAGGAGCAGTAGAAATTGGTAGACTTTTGGAAGATAAAAGTATGGCTACAAAAAACTTATCTAGTTTACAAAATAACAGCATAATACCCAAAAGCAGCTCCCAGAGCAGGAAAGAAATGCTAAATACAAACACATTCCTTAATAAAATTGAAAAATAACACATAAACCCCCCATAAGTTGTCAAAAAAAAAAACCCCACCAAAAAACCCAAACCACAGCTGCTTGACTGCACTTGATTACAAAAATATTGGGAGCTTCTGAGAAATATATATTTAAATGACAAATGCTATATATTAAACATTGCACAAAATGCAGTATATTCCCAAATTACTGTATTTGAAATTGTTGTTTTATGGAGCCAAACTAACTTTCTTTAAAAATTAAAAATGTATGAATAAAATACTGATTTGTCTCCTGTAACAGCAGTTCATTTAGGGCTTCTGATGGCTCTGTGCACTGTAATAATCCTGCCAGCACAGACACACAACATTTTCCTAATTTGATCTCTAATGTATGTTTTGTATATTTCCAGGCCCTTTAAATGTGACGTTATCTTTTGCAATAAAATGAGATGTTTTTATTAGGTTTCATTAGGTTTTATTAGGGAGTCAATTAATAATAAACAACATTCAGATTACAAAGGAAGGGAACAGCTGCTCTTTGGGAAAAGAAAAATGAATGGAAAACTAACAGGCATGTCGTGGAATCATTCTGCAACATTTCCAGGTAGAGCAAGGATGTCAATTTGAATACAAATTTAATACAAAAAAGCTGTAGCTTTTAGTTAGACCATGAGTATATTTGAACAAATCAAATTCTCCAACCATGGCAGCTCTGTAAATCGTTTCTATGGTCATTGTCTGCTCTAGAGTAGCTTTGCTTAACAGAGCTCACAATTTCTTTTTGGCAAAGTTTTATTTGTACAATATTATATATTATAATATTTTATATATATATAATATTCTATTATATATAAATACTGTCTAAAAACATCTCTGTGTAGCATAGCTGCCCTTATTTCATCATAGTAAAACTGGTATTGTGAGCAAAATCAAGATTGGAAGTACTAAAGGAAACCTTTAAGGTGCATATGGTGGATTTATGGTATTTCTATTTACCCCACCAAGCCAAGACTGAAAACAAGTATTTCTGTGTTCTACATGGTTTATAAATTTGATTTCTATAATTCCTGTAGGAGGTATTCACTGCATGACTATGACCTTTAACTAAGAGCCTAAATCTCATGAAATATTCAAGGTAAAGCTTGAATAACCAGTTTCAGACAATAAACTTGTCCCTCTTTGTGAAAGTGAACAAGCACTTCTACAACTACAAACAGTCAAGGTTTTGTGGGGTTTTAAGACAGAAAACAACCAAGCAGCTGCTAAAGCCTTCAGCTGCTAAAACACCACAGTGAAGGCAAGAATGGCATTTAACTAAGTCTTCCCTGCAGTAGCTGCAGAGAGCCAAATTACCTTTCCACCACCACCTCCTTCTCCTGGGGAGATGATTTCTTTCTGAGCCTGACTCTTCTCAGTAATTACACGAGCACAGCTCCCAGCAGGCACTCACCAGCTCAGCCCCAGGCACAGCCCTCCCCTTCCCTCTCCCTTAACTGGCATCACAGCACGAACAGATCCAGGCAACTGCAAACCCACATCTCTGCCAACAAGCTAGAAGATTGTGAAAAGATCACCTGAATATGAAAATTAACCTGTTTATCCCTGTCAGAAAGCAAAAAAAAACCCCTCGGGTAAGTCAAATCCAGTTATCTGTCAGGTGCAAGGCATTTAAGCTTGCAAGGAATTACAGGTCTTGTGAATTATAATCATTGTTCTTATCAGCACAAATCAGCTATAGCATGACTTTCCTCAGCA